AAATTCACTTAAAAGCAATTTATACCAGTTGAAGAGTTTAAAATAAATAATATATTATCTTAAATATAAATATTATATAATTTAAAGGATTATTTAAATATTAAAATAATTGATAAAGCCAAAAAAATTATGAAAAATAATAAAAAAGCAATATTTAAAAACAGTTTACATCAGTCAAAGAGTTTAAAAAATAATGATAAATAAAAATAAAAAAGTATAAATAATATATTACCTCAGATATAAATATTATATAATATAGTAGAATTAAAAAAATTAATAAAGCCAAAAACATTATGGAAGATGATGAAAAGATAATTTTAATTTATACAAAAGAACAAAAAAAGCATTTTATTTAGATTATTGAATGTTATAGAAGTTTTTAAAAAGATTAAAAATCAGATATTATTGTTGTCTTTATCTAAAACTAAAAAAGCTAATTAATCCTTCACTTGTACTTGTTATTAGATAAAATTAATAGCTTTTGATGTAATATTTTATGAAAATGATAATAAATGACTAAAAAAATGATAATAGAAATATAACTATATTATTAAAGAAAAAAATGTGACATAAAACTTATTTGACTTATTTGAATAAGCTAATATGTGAAAGTATAATCTGTACTTAGTTTTTGATTATATATGTAATTTGATCAATTAGATTATATTATATTATGTAATTAGGAATTAATATAATTATTCTAGAATAACTACAATAAATATTTGTATAGTCTATAATTATACAAATATTTATTTTTTAATATAAAATATTTATTTTATTAATAAAATTTAAAATATTTTAATAAAAATAAAAATAAATTTTTAATTTTATTATATTTTAATAGTAAATTTTGAAAGTAATGTATTACTTTTATAAATTATTATATATATATTTATTTTATATTTACTAATTTGATTATTTAGTAATCAATTATTATCAAAGCAATATATTAATAATAAATATAAATAACTTATTTTAAAAAATTTCATAAATTTTTAACTTTTATATATTCAAAATTATAATAATTTTAAAAAAAATAGTGATTATACAAAAGAAATATTTTTTTAAGAATATAATTATATATATATATATTTTTACAATATATTATCAGAAATTCGAAAATGAATTTGTTATTTTAGAATTCAATATTTCAATATTTGATAATTATATTTGAACAAAGATATCATTATTAGATTTGACTATTTGAATCTAATGGTGATATCTTTGTTCAAATAGAATCACCAAATGTCAAGATATCAAATTCCAAAGTGACAAATTCATTTTTGAAATTTCTGGTAATATATTGTAAAGATGTATATAAAGAATATAAGTGTAAAGCTACATTTCTTATAGTCACTATCTATATTGTTATTTGTTATTTAAAAAAAAATACTTTTTATATGGTGTAAGAACTCTTAAATCGACAATATGTTAAAAATTCTATCTCCTTATCTAAGAAGTAAATACAAAATTTAATATTATAAAAAAGAACTTGATAATATTACTGGTCAAATTTTGGATTTACTTATTAGGCAAGAAGTTGATAGAATTTTTAACATATTGTCGATTTAAGAGTTCCTGCACCATAGTCAATTAGACTTTTTTGGTGATCGAAAAGAAAACTGTTCCACTACTGCGGCAAATTGAATCTTGATCAGATCGGAGTTCTGATCAACAGCTCATCGTTTGGATATAAAATATCTATTTCACGAATTAGAACGGTGAGCATAACTTACCTTCTGTTCTCTTAATTCGATTGAATTACACAGATATGCACATTATTATAATGCGGCATGACCATTTGTTTTCTCATAAATGGCGAAGGTAATAATTTATTATTGTTAACGCCTCTTTATGAGAATTATTATTATTTATGCGTGTGTTAGATGAGTATTAGAATCATATGATATCGCATTTTTAGTAGTACTATTATTATTAGTCGATGTGTGATGGCGAAAGTGCATTGTTAGCTTCAAGTTAATTAATTAATTAGCCATCTAAGCATATTCTGCTTTATCAAGTGTAATCTTAAACCAACACAATAAACTTTTCTATTATTATAACGTGATTTTAGTGTGAATTATTAATACATTTTAGTTAATATTCCCCTTTACAATCTTAATAATAATAATAATAAAGTCAATTACTATTGTTAATTGTAAAAGTTAAACACTCTATGCCCACAAATAATAGCATCAACAAATTTATTTCACAACGGCTGAAAATGTAAATTTTTAGTTGTTTTTTGTTCTTCGTATAAGGATTGAATATTATGAAAATTCCATTCCAGCAAACAATCATACTTTTGAGATCCTTTGTCCGGTAGCATGCTGTCTAATCTAATCTGTTTCATTTAAATCATTGAATGATCAAGGATAAAAAAGAGAATCCAGAAAACTAAGCAATATTCCGATACAGAAGCATGAGGAGAAAAGGAAAAGATTCCTGCATAATGATGATGCTTATGATTATAAAGAAAAAGAATAATGAATGATAATCATGATGTTTGAGATGTTCTTCCTTTTTTTTTGTTACATTATACTAAATAGACGAATAAATGAATGCTACCTACTTACTCCTGCTTCTTGCGTAATGCTTTAGGTTTCGTCGTCGTTGTTCCGTAGATACTGCGTGAATCAAGATACATTATCGTTTATCACACAATAGTCTCAAATTATGATTAGAATGAGAGAATTATTGACGATGAGTGATTGCTGCTGTCTTTTCTGCTGTTGCTAATGAAAATAATACGACTTTAAAGTTTATTATTTGGTGATGAAACCTTGACGTTAATATTATTATTTATTGTCTGACTCTCTTTCTCTAGCGCTGCATATTTCTCAAGAGCGAGTATAATAAGTAGCGGATAATATGTGCGATACCTTCCTTGATAACGAATGAGCGATAACAGGATTAATGAATGAGTCTGATGACAATGAATCGATATCATAAAATTTTAGCACACATCGAAAATTATGATCATTATTATAATACGATTGTTCTCTTATTATGCGTAATAGGTATTATAAGTGTCAGTCGTAGTCGTTCAATCGATGAATAATGTTTCTCTCAGGCTTTATTTATATACCGAGACGGTAGAAAATAATCATTAACCGGTGAAATGTCATTCACATAATATCATATCATATTTAAATAACAAAAGCAAAATTCAACGAATGAAATTCCTTTGTTGTACATAGATAAATGCGGGGTACAATAAAATGGCATGAATTTGTGTACACGTAATCCTTTTGACATCACAGAGAACAATAAGTAATACACACACTGCTGCACTGACTACCCAAAAAAAACTAGCGGTGTTGCTGCTCCGGGGAGTGGTCCCACAATTTTGAATTTTAGGACAAAATAAGAACATTACCGTTTTTCGGTCTCCCTCTTTTTTCTCCATAACATAATGGCAATAGTAAATAAATGTATCCGTGGGCATTACACCGATCAAATCTGTCAAAAGGTTCTAATATATATATTTTTTTTCGAATGTTTTGTTACCGATAGTACTGTGTATTGAATCTTTAATTCTGCATTGTGGAGAACTTGCCTGCATATTCAGTGCGTAATGCACAGCAAAGTAAAATAACGTGCATAATTTTGCATTACCTTCTTGTGCACATACATATAATAGATTGTGTTTTTTATGCTAATACTTTTACTGCGAATAACAGGAAATAAATGGGTTCCATTGTTTTGCATATAAATAATAAACCGGAATTTTATTTATGTATGTTTGCAGTAACGTTAGAAAAAAATTTCCATATTGAAAAGATATCGTTTACGAAGTCGAATCATCGTCGTACATAACATTTGCATATTTAAATAAACTTTAAAAAGTAAAATAATTTTTTGCCTCAAATATTTTTATGTTAATAATTGCCTTTCTCTCTTTATAAAATTCATTCATTGATGGCGACGACCTATTGATACCTTTTTTAGTCAAATTCACATAACACAGTCCCGCGGTGATATATTGCGTTTTTACGATAACTTTAAAAACTTAATTGTCACGTGTGATAAATTTTTTTTAGACTGTACCGATTACTAATAATCCCACGTGCGCTTCGACCAAAAACATTATCCTCCAAATCTGGCTACAAACAACCGACTCGTAATACGTAATACCGAAATGGTCCCGAAAATTTGGTAATGAAAAGTCTAAGTGTCACCGCCAACGATATCGACTTACGATATATAAATGTATCAAGCAAAGCAAGCAAGCAAGCAGGATAATAATTACGAAATTTTCGCCTTTTTATGTTTTTTTTCTTTTTTTTTAATTTAAACTTTAAATTTCTAGCCGACGCAGGAGTTTTGTGTTTGTAATACACATCAAAGCAGCCAGATAAACTCAGCCTTATATTTTTTTATTATTATTTTCTTATATTTCTTCGCTGTCATTTATTTTTTATTCCCATTGTCTTTTGATTGTTCTCATTCTTGTGTATTAGTAGTATGCCGCTCGTGTTTTCGCGTTATTTTTTTAATGTATTTAGTCCGTATACATATAACATTCATTCATCACGATGGGAAAGACAACGATGCTGCTGTTGATGATTATGCTGCTTATGACATAAACTTTTGCATTCGAACAGACAAAGTGAGCAACAACAAAAACAGAAAAACACATATATATAAAACGTTCAAAAGTCCTTGTGAAAAATCTCCAAAGCTTTTCATCCTCATAGAATTTCGACCATTCTTCGTCATTTTATTCTCCAAAGCTTTTCGCCATATATATTTTATTTAGTTATTATTATTATAATTATTATGATCTTAACGTGCCTCATAAATAGAATTTAAGTTTTAAGAACCAATTTTCTACTTTATTCATCCAAATACACACTTTTCGTTTTTTCCTTCACTAAATTAAAAAGCTTTCCCTAAAAAAAAAATAAAATAAAAGTAATTCGTCCGTCAATAAAAAAAATTACGAAATTTTCTTCTTAATAGCTTTTATACGACATTCTAAAAACAAATCACACAAAATGGATTTTGAAAATGAATTCGAACATTCATCTTTAGCTGCATCGTCGTCCACAGCACGAACACTTTTTGATGAACTTCGAGACATGCATGTAACCGACTTTGAAAAATCTCAAGATGTATAAAAATCTCTCCTTTTCATTGATTCGCGTGTTTATGTGCTGAATGTGAGAAATTTTTCTAATTTCTGATCTATTTTTTTTTTTTTTTTTTGGTTTAGCTTGGAGATGAATTTTACGAATTATATGAATCGCATGAAGAATGGGATGAGTATGAACAGGGAGACAATGAATATAGGTATATTTTTCTCAAATCCTTAATTTTTTCGATGTAAAAAATGTTGGTTTTTTTGGCTCAAAATTTTGTATTCCTCTTAGTGGCTATAATACAGGTGGCAGCACAAGCAGCAGCAGTAGCACTTGCAGGGGAAGAAGCAGCAGCAGTAGCACTTGCAGGGGAAGAAGCAGGAGTAGTAGTGCTAGTAGTAGCAGAAGTGGCAGTAGCTGGAGCTCTCACTCGTTTCACGAAGATAGTGAGGAAATTGAGTTCTCAGGAGATCAATCATCCAAAGTCAATAAATTTGTTCCGCAATTATTTGACGACGTTGACGAGCAAGATCCGCTCTATGACGCACTTGAAGCTTATATCGAAAAACTTGGCGATGAGGAATTAAAAGAACTCTTGAATAAGGCAATTTTCTATATTTAGTATTATAATAAAATTAGATGCATGGAATATAAATTAACATTCTTTTTATTTTGATCCAAAAAGGATGAGGATGTTCCCACTATACTGCAAGCAATTGTCGAAAAAGTGAAAATGGCCACCAAAGAAAAAGAAAAACTATTACGTGAAAAAGCCGAAGAATTGCGAGAATTGAAAGAAACTTTTGAGATGTTGGAAAAAGAACTAACGGTTTGAATTAATTTTTTCTTCATTTATTGATTTCTCATTATTTTTAAATTCAGCAATTTTATATAATGTAATTTTATTTTTCAGGTAGAACAAATTGGTAATAACGATGCTGAGAATACTGTAAATGCAATGAAAGAAATTACGACAACGTCAGCAAACCGTCAATCTAGGTAAATTTTCGATTTTTCTACTATTTTTACGCGACACGAAATCATTGCTAATTATAATAACTATTATTTTTTGTGTTAGATGGGTACTTTATTTTCACATCCCAATCTTATTTTTTGTTGTGTGGCATGCATACGTACAATTCGTACAATATAAACTTGAAACGTTGATTCATTAAAAAATTTCTCGTTCTTCGATACCAACATCACCAACAAAAAAATCTAAGTTTATGCTTTTATTTTCTCATCCGTTTAAAATTAGGCTTTTTTTTATTAAATCCTTGCATTTCTATTAATCTCACTTGTATAATAAGAAACCTTTCATCTTCAAGCATTATATACATCATCATCGTAATTCATAAATCCAAAAAAAAATATGTTTTTAATTTTCCATATTTCGTATTTCCGTATTTCCTTTTGTTCTTTTTATAACTCTTATAATTCTTCAAATCGTTTTACGCGATTTTCTTATGGTACACACATAAAATCAAAATTTCCAATCTTATAAATGTATGATTACCTGTTCATTTTTCTTCCACTCCCACATAAACTTCATTTTTTTCTTTTCGTGTTTTTCTGATATTTCTAATAATTTTTTTATTTTATTTCTTTTTTTTAATAATTGTTTTTTTTTCGTTAGTAGCATTATTCTCTTTTCGATTACTCCGAAAATGTTCGTTTCTTATAGATTTCGTTTATTTTGTTCACGTAGCGTAAAGATTACTTCGCTATTTACAAAACGCGTTTTCTCTCTCACAACCAAAACTTCTTGTACATAATTACTTTCTTTATACATTGACGTTAGTTATTCTTGTAAAATAGAAAATTTTTATTTTTTTATTATTGTTTTTTCCCGCTCAACACACACCAAAAGTAATTTTCTTTTTTATCTCTATTTCTTACTGAACAACAAACAACATGTGTACTTTTTGATGTTGTCTCTATTAATGATTTTTTTATATATAATTAAAGAAAAAGGAGCAAAAGAAAAAATTTGCAAAACAAAACACGTCTCGCTCTCTTTCTCGAACGCGTATATCTATTCCTTCTCTCGTCTCTACTCTCTCTCGTTGCCTTGCGAGCTACTCTTTTTCGTGTTTATGTGTACATATGTGAATGTGTGTTTGGGCATTATCGTATCGTGTGCGCGGACTATATATACAAATATACGTGCATATGCGCGGGTTCGGAATAAAAATTTTCGTTTTACAACAAAAAAATCGACAGTAACAACACTAACAAACCAATCAACATCGAAACACAATCTTATACGTGCATGCTTTCGCAAGGAAAGAAATTATACTTTCGTTCGATCGCGATTTCTAATAGTAACAAAAATATCTAAAATCGTGAACAAAAAAAGACATTCTTTGTTTAATGTTTTCGTCTCAAATATATATCAACAAAAGAACGTCCGTAACTATATTTCATTCGCCACTTTTCGATTCTTTTTTATCGTTTCGAGTTTAATAGTGTACTGATTACGATAATAAAAAATAAGCTGTCATTTTTACGTTTAATATATAGAAATAGCTAGGATTTTAAAAATACACTCCCTAGATATTCTTAGTTTTTGATTGTAAACTGAAACATTAACTATAAATTCTTTTCGATTTGTAAATTTAAGATTTAGTAAATATTCTGAAATTAAAATACTGTTTGTTAACTTGATTTGCTAAAAATTCAAATGAATTTAAGTTTGAAAGTAATATTAAATATTCTTTACTTGAATTTTATACTGTTTTTCCTTTCATGAAATTTGCAAAGATTTTCTATTATTAACCTAAAATTATCTGAATTTCGTGACTTTCCTTAAAATCAATGAAATTTCTTTTTATTTGTTGTGTTGACTGCATTAATTTAATAAATTTTCGCCGAATAACAATGAGTGTTCTCGATATTACAAATTTTTTTTACCCAATTTGTAAAATGCAAATCTTGTTTAAAATTATACAATTTTTTATATAAGTTGTAAAGTATATATGTATAAATTTTGAGTTTTTAATTTATTTTAAACCAAACAAAAATTTGCATCAAACTTGAGTAATTGATATTATTTGAATATTAATTACATATATATTTTTATATTTATAGAATTTTAATGGCAAATTTCAAATAAACATATTCAAATTGGTGAGATTATTATTTTTTATAAACAAATTTAATTAATTATTTTTTTTGAAATTAAATGAATTTTTAAACTGATTTTTATTTGAAATTTTTAATATATAATTTTTTTAAAATAGATATATACAATGGCTAACAAAATTATGGAATTAAATATGTGAGTTTAATAGTAAAAATTAAAAGTTTATCTCATATAAAAATTTAAGTTTTATAAATAAAAATTTTGTATTTTTATATTTTTTCTGAATTTTTAGATTAATTTGATAAAGTTGTTTTAATTGCAAAATTATTATAAAATTTTTATAATTAAAATATAAAATCAATTATAAAAATTTTTGTAATAACTTTGCAATTAGAATAATTTTGTCAGATTAAATTTAAAAAATCATATAATAATAATCAAAAATAATATAATAACATTAAAATTTATTAATAAAGTATAGTAAAATACAAGTTTTTTTCTTTATATAAAGATTTTCAATTTTACTAATAAATATTTTTTTATTTTATATTAAAATAAAAATAATATTATATATTTTAATATATATTTTTTTAGATTTAATCTGATCAAGTTATTCTAATTGTATATAAAATTAATAAATTATTCATATTATTTTATTAATAAAATATAATAAAAATTAAAATTTTTGTTTTATAAAAAGTTTTTAATTTATTAACAAATATATTTTATTTTTATATTAAAATAAAAACTATAAATTATATTTAATATATAATAACAATTAAAAATAATGTAATAATATTAAAGTTTATTAATAAAATATAATAGAATACAAATTTTTCTCTTTATATAAAAGTTTTCAATTTTATTAATAAATATTTTTTTATTTTATATATTTTAATATATATTTTTTTCAGATTTTTTAAATTTAATCTGATCAAGTTTTTCTAAATACATATAAAATCAATAATTTTTTTATAATTAAAACATAAAAAATTTTATAATTTTGTTGGTTAATATATATTTTAATATACAATAATAATTAAAAATAATATAACAATATCAAAATTAAATATAATAAAATATGAGTTTTTCTCTTTATATAAAAGTTTTCAATTTAACTAATAAATATTTCTAATTATATATAAATTCAATTAATTTTTTATATATTTTAATTATAAAAAATATATTAAAATATATAATACTATCTTTAATTTAATATAAAAATAAAAAATTTTTATTAGTAAAATTAAAAATTTTTATATAAAAAGAAAAATTCATATTTTATAAAGATTCATCTACTTATTTTCATATACTGTTTATTATTATATAGAAAACTTTTTTTTATATGATTAACTTTTTATGAAATTATTACTATTTTGAGCTTTTGCATATGAAAGTAATTCAAAATGATAATAGTGACTGTGTTCACAGCAATTTATTTTGAATTTTATTATTAAATGATATTTATAATAATAAAATAATGTTTCTTAACAAGATAAAAAATAACAAAAATAAGACTAAACTAATAATAAGACTAAATTAAAAGATAAATTTAACCAAAAATCCAAAATAAAATTAATTTAATATGACAAACTCAATATTAAACCAAAAGAAATTCAAAATCAAAAACTTAAGAACTTAAAACTAGAACTGAAGAACTTGATTTTTATTAATTATCAGCACTTGTATTTATACATATTTTTGTATTATAGTAATACAGTATAATATAGTAATGTGCAGTATGACTTAGTATAATACAATTGCGACGCAGCATGTGGCACAATAGATCTTTGCTAATATTACAAAATTACTGGTTCTCTTTTAAATTACATGAAATTATAATTAATAATCTTGTTCTATATCTAAGTACCAATAGCAAAAATAGAAAATAGAGACTAAATTAATATAGAAAATGATGAAATTTACCAAGAAAATAATATAATTAATATATTCAAATAAAGATAATAATAAAATAAATATAGAAAGATAAGTAATATTGTTACCGTTGTGACATATTATATATTATTTAGCTATTTGTTAACACGTTTATGCAAAAGACCAGGAAAGTGAGCATAATATCATTATCATGAGGAGCTCAACATTTATTTATAATAATGATATTTCTCTCACATGATGATAGTATTTGACAAAGAATAATGATTATTAAGAATCTAATTGGTTTTTATTAAGAAAT